ATATTTAGAACTCTTAGAGTCTTTTTTAAAGTTGTGCTTAAGAAATATTCGTTAATTTTTCATTTTTTTTTTCAAATTTTTATCTTGTTTCTGATAAGATAAATCGATCATTTCTTTTTAGAATAATTTTTTTTGGAGTAAAATTTAGTTCAAGACACCTTATAAATGAGTTACAGATTCCTTCAAGGAAATAAGCCAGGTTCAAAACATCTTGCACTTTTTTTTAAGCTTATTTTATAGATAAGTGAATTTTTGTCATTCAGAGAAAATTAAATCTCTAATGGAATTTGTGGAATTGTTTTTTAAAATAGTAAAAAAAAAGAATAGGATTTTAAACTTTTGGAATCGAAAACGGTTTTTTTTCCATTATCTTAAGAAAGACTCATTAATCTAACTCGGTATCTAATCAGTTCTGAGTAACAACGTGAAAATTGAAATCTTATTTATCAAGTAGGTCACACCATTTTCAGAAAATCATCAACAAAAATTTCGCTGAGTTTTATGTGTAGACATAAATCCACTGATAATTATTTCTTTATCAAACTCAATGAATTGATAAGAATAAATTTACTAAAATGGAAAAAAAAATCTCGACTAGTTTTGCATATTCCTTTTTATCCTACCATCTTGTTTAGAGTTAGTAATAATTAAGAAACACCATAAATTATGTTAATCTTAATTACATATTAGCATTAATTTCCTTAGATTCTTACACCTATTTATTAGTTGTTTTCTATTTACATTTAGTGAATTTGTTCCGATTGTAATCGATGCAAAGACTAGCTTAAATATTTTAGTATTCACACAGATCTTCATGAGTGTGTTTTATTCTAATACAAAAAAATTTTTCAAAAAGCTCTATAAAAATAAGTAATCTTATTTTTATAGATTTTCCCAAGAATTCCTTTACATTGTGAGTAAATAGTTTTTTATGAATGTTAAAATTTATCATGCAATAAAAAAACATTAAAGAGGTAGACACGTAAAGGTAAAGTGATACTATGAGTTAGTAATTGACTTTAGGATAATGATTCTTTGGAATGGAAATTGTCTGTAAAACTTTCTCCATAAATTTTTCAGTGAGTCAGTCAATAAGATGATGTTAGTTTGTATTCATTAATAGTTGGTAGAAATAATTAAAACTAATATTATAAATAATTCAGTAATATTAAATTGAATTCTTTGATTAACTTTAACAAAAGTTAAGTTTATTGACAGCTCAGGTGTAGGCTGAAAGTGAAAGAAAAACGTGTGAGAAACATTTGAGACTAATACGAGAAATTTGAAACTTCAGAATTATAAACTTCACCATCAAAAGTATAGGTCTGTGTTCAAAGTAGTTTTAACTCTGTTGCAATTTTATACTGATTCTGTGACCCAGAAGGGTCTTATTGTAATAATTTTTCAAGTTATAAATCTTAAAACAGTTAATTCAAGCAAAAATTAACTTTTAATTGCAAATGCTTCGGTAGTTATTAGAATAAAAATAGTTATTTGTGCGAAAAGACAGTTAAAATAGAAGAAATTAGATTATTTTCTAAAAGAAAATGATATAATCATAGGATTGGGTTTAATTTATTAATGAGAAAAAAAAATATTTAATTTCCATTAAAATTTTTAATTCTATATTTTCGAGGTAAATAATCTTGGTTAAAAAGTAATCAGATTATGAAAAGATGAATAAAACCACTGAAATGGATTATCGTTGTGGGTTTTGTAATTGAAATAATTAAAAATATCTCATTAGATGTACTTCAACACATATAAAAGCCACCATAGAAACATTATTATTGAAAAAAAAAAATCTACTTTAACCATTTTTGTTATAACCTTTGACTCCATTTTCATCATGAAGCTTTTTCCAATGCACTTCTCCACTCATGCTATTTCTTTCCTTCATAACAATACAATATTAAAATAAATATCAATAAATGAGAGAAAGTTAGTGCTAAAACGTACCGACAAATACCAGTGACAACTATTTCACTTGTTACAAAATGATAACACAATTAGTCCGTGCTCCATCATGCGCGACCTGCGATATCATATTCCCCTATATGTTATACACGTGAATAGCAGATAGTAATTCAAAGCAGAAAGCGAATGTGAATGGAGTTGAAGAGATTTGTCAGCGTAAATCCAACAGTATAAGATCGCTTAGTGAAGTACATAACATCATATCTGTCAGACTAACCTGCCTAAGAGAAGATTAGTGATGTTTTAGCCAAATGGAGGCAAAATGAGGGGTCCTGGCAAAGTGCATCATATATTAGGATATATTTTGCACCAACTTATGCTTTACTCTTATGTATATTACACAGTAAAAGAGGGTTCAACCCTTTTTGAGTGTCAAGTGGCATAGAATAGACCTCAGTGTGTGGCCCACAACAGCTTGCTGCTCTATCCATTGTGGTTGGATTCATTTTAAGAGTGATATTTTCTCATTCTCTCTATCCACGTTATAAGCTGTTATCAAATTATCTGAGAAGTATTTATTATGTTGCAAAAGGCTTCATTATATTGGACGAAGTTAATTATTAAAACTGAAAATGTTCAAATATATATTGCCAAGACTTGAAGTGGTATTTAATTATCAATAATTCTTCTTTTTTATTTAATAAATAGCTTTTATAATAAATCATTATTATGATGATGGAGATTATTTTCAATATTTTTAATATAGTTAAAAACTTGACATAAAAAACAGCATGAAAAAATCTGGAATGTTATCACCTTTAGCATTAATTAAATGAACGGTCAACAAACTCAGAATAGCATCAAAGAAAAAATATAAAAATGTAATTGAAACTGTTACTTACTAAAACACCATAAAACTCATAAAAAATAATCTTTACTCAATCTTCCTTGCAATAAAAAATACATAGTTTATTGATGTGCAAAATTGCAATGAAACAGAGTATTTTATATCAAGATTTATCCAATGAAAAAATCCATACATCATAAATTTTATTTATTATTTACAATATTTGAAACATCGTTTTATGTATTTCATATTAAAATATATTTTATTTACTCTTTCTCTCCTTTGTAAAAAATTTTATTTCATATAATACAACTTGATAAAAAACGTTATTTTCAACATTACTATAATAATGTATTAAACATTACTAGTATTCAGTTACAGGTGTATTTTTTTTTACATTCTTTCCTTTTTATTTATTTATAAAAAATTCTAATTGAATTCGCAAAATCATATGAAATAAAAATTAGAAATAACTAACAATAAAATCTCCAATGTATCATTGTGTTATTTTATTATGAATTTTTTTTGATTAAATTTTTTTTTTATTCACATAAATTATTACTGGTAACTTTCAATGCTTGTTCATGATCTCTCTGCCGCAGTACAATATAGTTCGTGCTATAAATAATGGATTAACACAAAAAGGCACTTATCTAACAAAAGTTTAGCAAACTTTTATTCCCTCAGGGGAATGAGGGAATAGTTCATTCTTATTCTCTTCACTGGGACATAATTTTAGATTAACTAAATAGTGTGTTTGTTTGAAAAGACAAGAATAATATACGAAAGAAAAATATAAACAAATTCGCAAGTAGTTTAAAACACAATACATATTAGAATCAGACATAATGATTAATGAGTTTTTTATTGCACAGTTTATAAGGAGATTTTTCATGATTAATTGATACAATCATGGCCAAAATTATATACAGGACTTTAGACACTTATTATATGACATTTATTGAACGGTCGATCATGCTTGTTATTAGAAATTTTTTTTTTCTTCAATGTGGTTTGAAGAATTTTTTTTCCCCTCTAATTTTGAAAAATGATTTAAAATTAATAACGTCGTAACTCGGTTCACATAATATTGAAGCAGATTTTTTATAAATTTTCCATATATATTCACTGAAATAATTTCCATTGTGTTTGATAAGATATTTTATTATTATTATCATCATCATTTCAATTAATATAAATTTAATTCTCATATAAATCAATTGAATTCATTACTGAGAAATTTTCATTCCAACAAAATTTACGTTCTTTGCTATTGAAAATATAATTGTTTTACATTTAATATAGATATAAAGATGAATAATTTTTTAATCTTTAGCTAATGAAACTCGTGTACAACGACATAATAGTAAACATAGCATAGTTTTTTCTGTTGTTCGTTTAATTGAAAATGCTAATGAACAATATAATGTCCTAAACTAATTATTATGACAGAAATATCGTTATTCGGAACATGTTGCAATTAAGTTGAAGAAGAAAGTTAAATATTTTTATTTAGACAACAATGTTCACTGAATATCAAAATAATGAATTTTAATTTAATAAATGTCTTCTTTGTGACTAATTAGTGGTTCAAAAATTCCTATCTGTATTTTTGTAATTATTCATTTGTACTTCTTTAAATAATAACTAATTAATTAACTTTACTACTTCACTTCACTTACCTGCCATCTATCATACATCCTAATTAATTCAAGAATTAAAAAATGTTAAATATTATAAATATGATAAAAACCTATTCAAAAGTGCAAAAGTACTTGTGCAATTATTCAAAAAAAAGAAAAAAAAATTTCCCACAGAATTAAATATTCTTTTGAATGAAGCAGAACGTATAGATGAGCATGAAATGGATGACATGTATTTATATTTACGGACTGAAATATATTTTAAAATTAATAAAGAAGGAATAGATTATTTTAATAGAATGTTCTAATATTTAAACTGTGGCAAAACTAACACGTGACACATATGAACTACAGGGGTTAAGTTAAATGTAGTAATATATATGTTGTGTAGATTCGTAGTAACTCGTAAAGGGGCGAGTGACAAGCGTCCCAGAGAGGGGAGATATGAAAGAGATAGAGTAAGAGTTTAAGAGAGCGGGTAAGGGGTAGAAGGACGAAGGTGAGAAAGAGAAAGCAACAAGGAAAGAGTGAGAGAAAAAGAGCACAAGTCAGCTTGACTCGAACCGAGGAAGAAACGCCAGTCGCCACTCGACGCCCGCAACGTACGGAAGAAAATCGTGCGCAGACGCTATTAAGTAACGCTTCACTTTAGAACGAAACTTTGAAAATTTTTCGCAACTTCTTCCTCATTATTTACCATTTATTTTCAATATTTTTCCATTATTATCAATCAAATTTATCAACAAAAAACAGTTTTAGATAAAATTCAAATTTTGTGTGGGAATTTTTCCAGTGAAAAGTAAAAGAAGAAGAAGAAGAAAGATTGAAAGTAAAATCGGCGAGTTTTCGTGACAGTGCGAAGTAAAAGGGATTAAAGTGAACTTTTGAAAAGTGTAATAATTTTAAAATCAGGAAAAGAGATTTTTTTTTGAAAAAAGAAGCTTAAGTGAGGATTAAAGATAAATTTTTAATAAAATCTCTTTTTCTTTTGGCCTCGTTGAGTTCTTCGCGATTGGATTTGAAAAACGAAAGGAAAGTGAAGATTATAAACAGTGAAAGAGGAAATAATTTATCTCATAAGCCACACAAATATCAAGAATTTTCCATTTCGAAAGAAAAGAACGTGTCTTCTGATTGATTTCCAGGTAACATAAAAATAAAATAATATTGCATGTAATTAAAAACAATTTGTATTAAATTTATGACGAAATGATATTCAGATGGGCCGAAAAAGAGAGAAGTGAACGACGAAAAATAATAGAACGTTATTTTAGAGGAAGTGATACTTTGGATTACTAAGTGAATAGTTTTCGAGTGTTACTCTTTTAATTGAGAGTCAAGTGAGAATAAGTTAGAGTTGGAGAGGATTTTAAGAGTGATGTTTTCTTCTATCAGTGATTATACAGTTCATTAATTAATTGATTTTATTGAAATTTATGATCTAATGTGAGAAAGCTACATTTATCGTTGAAAACAATTATTAGATTCGTGGAATAAAAAAATTGTTACAAGTTTTCAGCAATAAAAATAATAAAACTTTAACAACATTGTTTTATGGTTTATAACAGTAAAAGTAATTTGAGAAAAATTATAATCATTTTTTGTCAGTGATAATTGTGTTAAACTTGACAAAATTAAAACGGGTTTTTGGTCATCGCAACAATGACGGAAGGAGAATTTTAAGTTATGAGCAATGTATTCAGTGGTAAGTTGCTACTAATTTTCAGCATGTTTGGACTTAATGACTTCCTAAACAAAACAAAGCTTCCAAACCTCCTGAAGTAAACAATAAACATACTTACAATAACTTAAGTTGGCTCTTAAAAAAATTTCATTCAAACAACAAAAAATAAGATGACAACTTTTTTTTGCAATAATTAACAACAAATTAATTCATTTATTCAAATTTTAAGGATTTTTTCTTCTCGAATGATCGTAAAAACAAGTTTTTTATTTCTGTATAATGATTGCAAATGTTGAAAAAAATATTAATTGTTTTAGATTTATGCTTATTTCAGTAATAATAATGAATTGAAGATTTTCTGGATTTTTTGTTAATTATTAATTGTCTGTAATATTGAATCAATTAGTATAAATAGTTAAATGGTTATTAGTCCATGGGGTAATGGTTACATGAGTGATTCTCCGATTTACACTTTTTTTATTGGCCCGATGAGAGTCACGGCGTAGACACATGAACGAGTTTCCATCAACGAGAAGTTATAAAGTCCCGTTAGATCGACGAACTAAACCAACTGACCGAGTATTCATTTGTTCTCGATACAATTTGACACATTGTGATATGCGTATATGTATATTGCTTTTACATTTTTTTTCATAGTTATGATTAGAATTCTGAAAAATTGTGGGCTTTGTTTCTAATCATAGTTTTGGAGTTTCTGATCGTTTTATGATTTTTCCACTCACTTAAACACTTTAGTCATACTCGTTATTATTTCATTTTTTTTTTAACTTTTTTTTTTTCAAATAATAAAATAAGTTATGAGTAGTATAAAGTTGGACAATTTTTTTTTTAATATAAAATATTTATTCTAAAAATTTATTAACAACAATAAAAATAATTATTTTTTATTAAACTCAAAATATGTTAAAATGCATACTATTGCTCTTATAGACAGAGATTAAATTTTAATTAAATTTTCGAAATACTGCGCACTAAAATTGTCTCTAAAGTTATGATTAATTTGTGAATATGTAGGTATTTTAGCTAATATTCCTCGCAAAAATTCATTAACTATTTAAATGTTAATACAAAAATGAAATACTATTAATCAAGATTTCTAACAATATTATATCAGTACATACTTGTAATGTTGATTAAAGAAAACACAGACAATCTAAACAAATATTAGTATATTTGTATTTAATTATTGAGGAAACGCTATATTGTTGCTCCGAAATTACTATGCAATTTTATTTTCATTGATTGTACCATTAATTGATAAAACTTACTTCTATTAAATTAAATTAATGTTGACATATAAAATATTAAACAAAAATTAATAAAAAATTTTCATGTCCATAAAATATTCCTTCGAACAGCCAATAATACTTTTCAAACACTTCTAAAATGGCTATATATTGATGATGATTAATTATGTTTATTGACGACTGTGTAAAATTTTGAATATAATGACAGCAAATTACGTTGGATGCATTATTATGCAACAGTAATTAAAGGTGTAGTGATTATTGAATGGAAAAAATAACTACACAGTGACTCAATAGGTCTTGAATATATCTTTAGTTTATACATAATTTCATCGAAAAAGCTCATTAACAAATGAGTTTCGTCGTTATGCTAAACTATGTCATGGACATTTCAAAATATTTATCATCTCATTGAAAACAGGGTGTTTAAAGTCACCAAATATTCATCTTTATTTTTCCTAAATAATTTTTTGGTAATTTTCAATCATCAATAACTGAGTTAATATTAATATTTACCTCAAAATTGAGGTTGAAAAAATGTTTTTGACCTCAAAAAGCTAATTTCCTGTGTTATTTAATATCTCTTCAGTAACATCGAAATTTAAAAAAAATCATACGATGATTATGGCTCATACTTATCATCTAAAATGCTGTCTAAAAAGCTTTCCAGATGGTTTATTCTCGTACCGTGTGTACAACGAAAGAATAGGAATGCTCTTGTTATGTTCATTACGAACCAATCCCATATCAGCGTGATCAGTTCAACTGGATTATCGAGATGGAGAGCGTTATAACCCACTGCACGCACGAGTTGTAATTGATTCGATCAGAGACAATTCTCTCTCACCGGCCCGTTAACTTATGTATATATTTAGCTATGTGACTACAAACACACACACGTTCAAACTTATAATATTTTTACTCATTCTTATTCGAAGGGTTATTGTCCTGCGGGGGAAGAAGCATACGTGATTTCAAAGTTAAGTTAACACACACTTTTGTGTGAGACCTTCTATATATGTAGTGATGGGATTTTTTGTCAAAAAATATATATCTTCTAAATTTGTGTATAAAAATATTTATGAAGACTGACAAGTCGTGACAGCTTGGCATTTTTAGGCAATTTATCTGAATGCACAAAGGGTTATGTACCTCTGCGTGCGTTGGAAATATTTTTTTTTTTGTAATGTACATTGTGAAAAATAAATTTAAACGTATATTTTATATTATTTATTATTCTCTCGAGTGTAAGAAAGTATGGTTTGTAATTTATTTTTAATAAATAATTCATATTTGTTACGGTTAGCTGACTTATTGTTGCTGGTTTACTGTTGCTTTCATAGTTTTTTATTTCACAGTATTTTTGGATAAATTTAAACAAATAAATATCCAATTCATAATTAATTATTACGATTAAAAATAAATTATTATTAGAATATTCTAAAATTATATTTATTATGAATTTGTTTCTTCTTCTCCTTTTTGTTAATGAAGTAATTATTCTAATATTGCTATTTATAATAAGATAATAACACACCCATAAAATCCATATGTGCATTTGATCTCTTTGAGTCTTCGTCTACTCATTTCTATCTCAGTTGAATTTAGACTCTGTTTAGACTCGGTTAGAATAAGGCGACAAATTGTAAAAGCGGATTGAGATCAAAGTAGTTTTATACAAACATTTATCGTGTCTGAGTATCTTAAAGGTCTCGGAGTAGAGTAGAGAATGAGCTCGTATAGACATACAGGTATATAGACATATATGTAACTTTACTGGTACACTCAGCTACCTGTGCACTAACTGAGAGACGACGGACTTTGCTCGGTCACGTTCTGCGCGCGGTTGCGCTAAATGTCAGGTGCACCATACAATATATTGCATGGCTATTGCCTGCTGCACTTTATAATAAAGGTAGTCTAGTCGTGAGAATTCTACAATCAGGCCATTTTCAAATTTTTCATTTTTCTTTTCTATCTTATGAGTTTTCACAACAAATACCTTTTTGTCCTTTCATTCAGAAAAGTATATTGAAAATATAATCATGTTTTGCAATTTTGTGGACTTGGAATGGATTTTTTAGACATGAAATTGAAATAGAAATGATGTTGGTAAAAAAAAATGTATTTGTAAAATCGGATAATGATGAAATTTATGAATGGACTTGAATTGTTTATTTAATTGTTTGTAAATTAAAAATAACTTTTAATTGTAATTAGTGAATTATTTATTTAACTAACTGATTGATTGAGAATATAAATATCTTATGGCACTTCTCATTTAATCCACAGGTTGAAATTTATTTCAGTAATCCATGAGTCATAATGAATGTTTTGAAAACATGGATAGCATTATAATGAATCGGGTTTGAAATAATAATATTATGTACATTAAATCTCTAACAATCCAGTTTATAACAAATTATTAATTGCTCAAGCTAATTCTGGTGATATCATTTTAGCTGCTAATTAAAGAAGAGAATAAACTCATCACTGATTTTTTTTCCACCACAATACATGAGTGTTAATTAATACATTAAAAACTTTATAGTTATCAGATTAAAATATTCTGACTCAATTTATGAATTTTAACATGAAGTAATTTATTGATTTTTGCTAATATTCAATATAAAATTCGTAAAAGAATCCTTCGTATTTTTTGTATCTCTTTTTATTTGAGAAATTTCGCAAATCCTAAATTATTCACACTTTCTAACCCGAACACTTTCGTCTGTCTTCGGGCTCTATTATGCTTCAATAGTTGAATTGTAACAATTCCATGCCACTCTCTTTCTCCTGATTGAAATTCAAAATACCACTATAAATATATAATGGTCGAATCTATTTACATTAATTATTATCAAGATTACCGTACCTTTAAAAAAAAGAACTTGTCAATAAAATCTTTTGTGATTTAGTGAAGAACTTGAAATAATTATTGAATAGAAAATTAAATTATTGTTCAAAGTATCACTGCATTGGTTCTAGTTAGTCTAGTCTATGGTATATAAAATACTTCAATGACAAGTATTACAGGTATATCAAATTTCATTATGGCTCTAATAAATTCTTGAAAGTGTCTATATGTATTTTATTCCATCAGTGAATAAAAAGTTTTGAATTTAAATTATTATGAATAATAATTCAAAATTATAAGCATTCTGAAATTTTCAACTTGATAAAGGTCATGATAAATTGTATGCATTGATACTAATAAGTCATATAATATGGATAGAATAGTTTCAGAAATTCAATCATGATGCAGTATAGTCCTATAATGATAGACATGATATGTGGGTCACCTGTCAAACCTTTTTCAAAGTCCTAGGCCATTCATTTTGAATCATTAATATGTTTTCAATTTTGTTTTTTATCGAAAATCGTAAACGAAAGGTACTTATTATCTGAAAGTGAAATTTTCTCATTCTTCAGTTTCTTTCATTTTTATGGAGAGCTACAAATAAAAGTGCACAAGTTATTTTGAAAGTTACATCCTTAATAAGAGCTGAAGAAGAAATCAATAGGTTGTTTTTTAAAAAATATTCCTATACTTTCTAATATTTATTCTTTTTGGGATAAATAATTGGTTGGGTTTTTTGGTTGTATATTGTAATTCATAACATAGAAGATGGTACATGGAATATTTTTCGACCGTGTGTATATTTAATATTTTTCAATATTTTATGTTATGTTCTTTTATATTTCTTCTTCTTGGCAAAAATGTACATAACAGAAATTTACATGACTAGAATA